TGAGTTTCTCTGGTCGGAGACTTTCGTCCTCTGGTCCTGCTGTCTGTGTACCAATGCTTATTGCAATTAATGTTTGGGTTGCTAAATTTGAGTAATTTTAAATGCTTTCCTCTTTCTAAATTCAAAAATTAAAATCAGAAATGTGTTACTAATCTGTGTTTCTGTTAGCTGGTTAAATTATAAACTGACAAAAGTGCCAGCTTTAGATCATTTTGGGCTGTTAGCATTAGCATACCTCCTCGCTGAGGCCTACCAGGCCGCTCAGAGCCTTTCCTCCGCTAAATTCCTGGATCCTGAAAGCTTTCCCAGAGCCTTCCTGCGCTGCCCGGGACACGCACACAACCTTGGACTGGGCTGCCGAGGGGAAGCCGAGGCTGGCCTGGAGCCCGGAGTCCGGCTGCAGGTGGAAGAACAGCAGATAATCCGGGCTGCTCATGAACCTGGTCAGAGCCGTCCTGTTGCTGCTCTCCGACACAAAGTCCCGCCATTTGTCCGGGTCCAGTCTGAAGCTCCGTTGGACCAACATCCGGATCGGTTCTAACCGCTCGTCGTCGGAACCTTCCATGTTTCTTCTGTCTCGATCACTATACGACCAGTTGGACCGAAAACTAACCTAAAACAGTTTAAAATTCTGGAAACATAAACGTTTCTAACGGCCAGAATAATACCTTCAGGGACTGTCGATGAAAAAACACAATCTGCAGTTTTCCAATTTCAAAAGCCCGGGAAAAACATATTTTTACGCCTTTTACGCAACTATATACTACGGAGCCTCCGGGGATGTGGGGAATTTAATGTACTGATCGTTTCATGCGGCATAACTGAATACTGTAAGCCTTTCTTACGGGCCGCCGTACTTTTCCTTAATACCAGGTTATGTAAGGTTTTTCCATAAATGTTAATATCTCTTTGTGAAATATCTGAAGTTTTATATTTTTTTCTTTAGTATAGAAAGGCACCACAAGCCTATGATATAAACAGAAACTTTCCGTAAGAAGGAAAGAAATAAAATACATCCAAACTATTTGGACTATTTGAGTTATTATCATCTGACAGTCTGATTGAGTCTCTATTGTATCTGAATGGTTTGAAGGGCCGTTTCCATGTGGTTTCATCTCAGCCTTAACAGACATAAACATCCAGACAATAATCAACTTTTTTTGCACCAAAGAGTCGATAACAATAAACACGTTTTCACTGAGGCTCTGAAAGAGCCATATGAATGAAATAAGTAATTATTGATATGACAGGAGCACGTGGCTTTGACACCTGGGTGGTGGGTGTGTCGATGTGACGTCACCAGGTATGAATGGGAAGGTGACTGGCTTTGTGTGTATGAGGAAGCAGCACTTGTGCATAGTTTCTCCTGGTCAGTCTGTGTCGCAGTCCTTGCAAAGTTTGAAGCATGATAATCAAAATTGAATAAATCGATAATCGTGACAGAACAAAGAAGTGGCCTGGAGATGATTGACACACGGACAGATGAGATTCCCTGAATTAACCCAGTGGGGCCCTCCATCACCATTTAGGCTCTTTACATATGTATATATTTGAAATGTTAAATTGACATTCATGACTGTATACAAAATAGACCAGCAAATATTGCAGTAAGCATATTGAAGGAAACGCAAAACAAAAAAATTTCCCCATGTCCCCTCCAGGGCTCCGTCTTATGTGGTCTTTCATTCTTTTCTTTGTCACGTTATTCTCCTCCGATAAAGATGCTGAACTCATAAACTCAGGAAACTAATTAGGAACCAATTACTCCTGGTATCCATCTTTTTTTTTCTTTCTTTTTTTTACCCGTGAATAATGCTTGTTGTATGGATGATTTATCTACACAACAACTAAAAATTTCAAGCAGAAAATTCTTCTGTTTGCTTGTTTTGTGTTTTACTGGGTTTTTAGTCCGGGACATTTTTTAACTCGCATTTAGCTGTTATATTAGCGCCTGCTATAAGAGATAAAGCTGGCGAACTAAATAGGACAGTTTTCAGCCCCCAGCTTTAGCCAGTGTGCTATCCAAGATGTTTCTGTGTTTTCTGCCAGTTCTGATGTCACATACGCTTTGAAAAATCACAAATCTTACTAAATACAATAAACAGAAGACTAGAAATGAACTTATACGGATTTCTGCACATACTGATATAGATGGAATAAAATTGCTGGTAAGTTTGTGTAACCAGGTGGTTTTACTGGGAAAACATTGTAAAGTGGCTGTAAATTCCCACCCGTTTGTGGCCCTTGAATACATCCAGGCCCCGTTTCCCCACCTTCACTCCCGTTTCACAGCCTTGGGCTCATTAGGGTATACAGGCACCGGGTGTGCCCGCCAAGCTAAGAGTGGCAGGTCTGTTGTGTGCAGTTGGATCTCAGTCAGATGAGCTCCGTGCTCATCGGGCTGCTGCCAGAAGATCTGGATCGTTGATATTTGTGCAGCTGGATGCATGTCAGTGTTTTCTCACTGCAGTGGCTGAATGTTCCCGTTGTGTGGCTGATTAAGGTACATTTCATTTGACCTTACATGGCTTTATTATTGCCAGCAGACACTTTATTGTCTTCTTTGGGTATTACAGATTGCTGCTGTTCTGCTCTCACCAAAGTGCATCTGTTTTGTAGTTCAGATGCTCTCAGTTAATGGGTCGCCTTCTAGAGCTGGAGTTGTAGCACAAGCACTGCAGAACCAGAAAACAGTTTATCTCTGTTTTTATGAATTAGCTTATAGGGCACAGCCTTATAGGACTGGGTGGAGGGAATGTGGGATTTGTTTTTGTTTAACATTATTTTGTGTTATTAATTTGTGTTTCTACTAATTTGGTTTGCAGTTGTTTTTGGTTAAGTTTCAGACTATTTCTAGTCTTGTCCTGTGTTCTTGTGCTTTATTGGGTTTTAAATTAGAATAATAAAGTCTATTTTTAATATTAAAAGAATGTGAATAAATATTTTGTATACTATTTCTGTTTCATCATTCTAAGCCACACCTACCTGGGTATTGTTAATTGGGAGACCCTGGGCCACTTGATATTATTTGAGTGGTCTACCAGTTGGCTTTAGGGCCACGTCCTCATGTAACCTGGTTGTAATTCTCTTTTGTTATAATTACACAAAATGTCTTTTTTTGGTTATTTGTCTTGTTCCTTATCTTACTGAAACACTGTCATTGTTTTAGCCGTGTTAAGATCGGAAGCCCCTCCTTTTTATTTCTTCTTCTGTGGTATTGTCTTTAAATTGTTTGCGCCCCTTAGCCCCTCCCCTTTTGTCATGTCCTGCGGGAGAGGTGTGTGCGTTTTATTTTTCCATCTAAATACATTCAGTTTATTTATAGATCTATTAAGTAAATTTTTGTTTTATACTTTTGTTTTGTGTAGGACTTGGAGCGGGCGGCCTTTAACACGGTTGTTTTCTTTGTATTCTTGTCAGAAATAAACCGAGAATCATCCTTTTAGAAGATAAACTGTTCACTCGATAACCGGCACAACGCAGAAAAGGATCCGGTTACACTCAGTCACAATCCGGGTTCTTTCCCCCGTTTACATTTGCAAAGGGTGAAACAGTAACAGACATACAGCAAAGATGAGGTAAAGAAAAAGGCATGCCAGGGACAATGAAGAAGATGGATATTATAATTTTCAGAGCGTAAGTGGACCCTAATCCTAGAATAAGTTCTAGAATAAAAAACAGAGATTTTATATCAGGAATCTGATTTTCCACACAGGGTTAATAACTCAGAGGATGAATAATGACACAGGAAATTGTGATTTTTTTTTATTTTTTTTTTATGGGCAAGATGAAACATTTAATGTTACATTTTAATAAATATTCAAATTTGAGCATCAGAGAAATAAACATGGTTAACAGAGGAAGACAGTGATGGGCTTGTTAATCCGATATTCAGGCTTTAAATGTATTTAAATGAGGACACTTCGCTGCAGCAAACAGGAAGGGGCGGGACGGACCACTCAGTCTTGTACCTTATTTGGAAATGGGACCATTGCAGTCCGGAAGTGAAGGGGGCGCTATTTCCTATACTTTTTTATTTTCTTTTGAAATCTGATATACTTTCACCTTTAGGAAGGAGTTTCACTCTCGGAATGTATTTGGACTTCTCTTTTATTTATTTAAACGCAGCTCACAGTTTTTAGCAAATTCTGTAGCGTTCGGTGTACTTCTAAATCTGCTTCTTAGTCACATCTTTTCGGGCCTGCTACTGCCTCTAGTGGCGTGGGGGTGGTAACACAACTAATCTAAATTGCATTACTAAATCAGAATACCACAAAGTATTTATTACTTATTATTAATTCTGGCATTACTGGCACCGTAAAATTATCAACATGGCATCTTGCTTAACTCTCGATACAAAGAAAACAAAGTGCATTTGCTTTTCAATCAAGAAAACATCATTACAGTCCTTGAATATTCAGATCAATGGGGACCCTATTGAACAATATCACAAGAAAAATATTTAGGAATAATTCTGGATGCTCAGTTAAATTTTAGGAGCCATGTTGACAAAATCTGCAAAACTGTTAGATTGAATATAAATTGTTTTAAAGTTATTAGACATTGTTTGACCCTTCACTGTGCAGAGACGTTTTTGAACTCACTGATCCTCACATTTTACCTGCGGAGCTCCTGTCTGGGCTCAGACTAGTCAAACTCAAACCATTAGCAAGTCTCTATAATCGGGCCTTAAAGGTTTTATATCAAAAGCGATTAGATTCCATCACTGTCACATTTTGGCTAAATTTGGCATTTTGGATTTTACAAATTTTCTAAATTATAATGTATTAAAATTGATTTTTAAGTGTTTAAATGGACTTGCACCTACACCATTAACCTGACTACCAGGAAAAAAAATGTCTAATCACCATTTTTTTAAAAATCCCAGTCTTTTTAAGGTACTAAAAGGTTTTATGCACTTTGTCTCTTCCCATAAAATGTGTTATTACTGATGAATGCCATTTTTATGAATTAGAAAAGGGTACTTAGAAAAGTCCCACCCCTTCACATGTGGTATTATTGAAAAGCCCTAAATGTCCTCTGTAGATACCATAAAGAATTAATTCAGTAGAATGCAGGGGGTGGGAGATATTCAAATGTCCTCGACAGAGGACAAAAATGAACTACTGGTAGTCAGGAGGTTAAGCGATTGTATACAGAGACTGCAGGGCAACAGCAGATCTACCAGAGCGGCTTTGGATGGAAGTTGTAAGGTTCCCTTTTGAAGAACCATTTTTGCTCAAAGTGCTCTGTCAGTGAGAGGATCTGCAGTTTGGACTCACTTCCTGTTCATTTAAAGTCTGTAACCAGTTTTAATATGTTCAAAAATCAAACAAAGCTTTGGTTATGTCAAAAACAGACCTGTACCCATTTTTGATGTTTTACATTTTTCGGTTTGTATACATCATGTTGTGCTATTTTAAATGATTATCACTTCAATTTTTAGTTATTTTTTAAAAAGCCCAACTAGGGACAAGTGCTGCGAATTAGCTGTTGCTGTTGCACCACGATGCAAATGTTTTATTCAGTTTGTCTATGTCGATGTGTCCCTATCAAATAAACTTTATTAAAAAAAGATAAATTATCTTAAACATATTTTTTAAATTTTCTTAACGATGTAGAGCTAATTAAATGACAATACTTCTATACATTATAAATATCTATACATCTCCATCCATTATGGGAGGAACAAAAGACATAAGGAGACATGAAAAACATGATCAACTATAATAAAAATACCATTCGCAGTGTATACATAAGAAATTTAATTGAGCAAAAGTCAATAAACAAATGAATTAGGTACAGAAGAATAACAACCCAGGTTGTTAAACAGATATAAGCAAAAATTCATTTTTTGTTTTTACAGTGCCATGTATATTATTGAGACTTTTTGTTGTAGAGTCTTATATATAGAAAAAAAAGAAGATGAAACTATTTAATCTATCAACGAGGAATTTTTCCTTTGACTCTAAATCGATAAATCATATTCATGAATCACATTATTACACGGCCCATCTGTGGTGACGATACAAAAAAAGTAGCCTGCAGAAACTTTGTGTCCTACAATGATGGCATGAGGCTCAAAGTGTCTAGATGGAGCAGTGCTAGCCATAAGTTTGTACATAATGCTGTTCCCACATGTGCAGCTGAGCTCAGGAATCTTATGCATGTGTAGATTATCTGAGTCATGCAATAATATAATTGCAATTTTAGTAAATCCTGCTTTTAGTGCTGTGAGATTCTCTTCAAGATGATGGAATCATTGGCGTCATCATTGATTTGTGACTCGGTGAATAATATCATGTCATGTTTATTTTTATTTTATTTTGCTTGTTTTTACCTTTTTTGTGTCTGGAATAAAGATATGATTGATTGATATGATTATCAACAATGTGTGAATAGAGCAAAACACTTGGCATGCTAAATGTTATTTAGTTTGGTTAAGAATAATTATTGCACCATCAATAAATGTTCTTATTGCCAGAGGAACACAGCAACACCTTCATGAGCTCAGAGGTTCAAACTGATGAATAAAGAGGATGGACGCTCTCTGCTGAAATATTCCTGCCATCTTTCATGTTCTTTCAGCAAACAGTTGAGACAGAGATGGTTTTGGTTTCACCACCATTTACCTGCTGTTATACCTGCCATTCAAAGTATTCTTAAAAGATTGTCTGTTAGTCTGCAGCTCATGTGACCAAACCAGTCGAGGAGATGAAAAGTTAAAACTTGACTTAAAATGTTGTTTTAACTTGATGAGTTAAAACTTAATTTAGAATGTTAAGTTTTAACATTTTAACTCAACAACCTCTACCTAACTAGAGGTTATACACAACCTCAAGTTGGGTAACCCCAAGATCACTGGGTCTTCTGAAAAGGTAGAGTCTGAGAACAGTTCTTAAAGATGTAGTCAGTGTTTTCAGCAAAGTTGAGCTGACTGTCCAGGAATGACACAAGGAATTAAAAATTTGCCACAGTTTCAACAGGTTGGCCATCGAGTGAAACTGGAATCACTTTCAGTTCTTATCACAT